GCGGGGCGCTGAGCTGAGCTGTGCGGGGCTCTGAGCTGAGTTTTGCGGGGCTCTAATCTGAGTTTTGTGAGGCTCTTATCTGAGTTTTGTGAGGCTCTAATCTGAGTTTTGTGAGGCTCTAATCTGAGTTTTGTGAGGCTCTCAGCCGAGCTTTGCGGGGCTCTGGGCTGAGCTTTGCGGGGCTCTGGGCTGAGTTGTGCGGGGCTCTGGGCTGAGTTGTGCGGGGCAATATTCTGAGTTTTGTGGGGCTCTAATCTGAGTTTTGCGGGGCTCTGGGCTGAGCTTTGCGGGGCTCTGAGCTGATCTGTGTGGGGCTCTAATCTGAGTTTTGCGAGGCTCTAATCTGAGTTTTGTGAGGCTCTCAGCCGAGCTTTGCGGGGCTCTGGGCTGAGCTTTGCGGGGCGCTGATCTGAGTTTTGCGGGGCTCTAATCTGAGTTTTGTGAGGCTCTAATCTGAGTTTTGTGAGGCTCTCAGCCGAGCTTTGCGGGGCTCTGAGCTGAGTTTTGTGAGGCTCTAATCTGAGTTTTCTGAGGCTCTCAGCCGAGCTTTGCGGGGCTCTGAGCTGAGCTTTGCGGGGCTCTGAGCTGAGTTGTGCGGGGCTCTAATCTGAGTTGTGCGGGGCTCTAATCTGAGCTTTGCGGGGCTCTGAGCTGAGTTTTGCGGGGCTCTAATCTGAACTTTGCGGGGCAATAATCTGAGTTTTGCGGGGCTCTAATCTGAGTTTTGCAGGGCTCTGAGCTGAGCTTTGCGGGGCTCTGAGCTGAGCTTTGCGGGGCCGACCCCGTCTCCAGCGGGGTCGGGCTGAGGAGGAGGAGGAGGAGGAGGAGGAGGAGGAGGAGGCGGCGGCGGCAGAGCCGCTGCAGGCCGGGCCCGGAGAATGGGAACATCGGCGGCCAACATCGATTTCCTTGTTCCGAGCGGGCGGACAAGGGTGGGCCGGCCGCGGCCGCCCACGGCCATTTGTTCGCTGTCAGGAGGATTTAGTGGCCGGCCACGCTCCGCCGCGGCTCCGCTCCGCTCCTCTGCCTCTCCCCGGGCCAAAAGTTCAGCCTGAAAGCCGAACCCGACTGGCAAAAATCCGCTTTGCCCGGCGGCAGCGGCTGCTGACACATCCCGCCCGCCAGCGGCGCCCGCTCCGTCCTGCAGCCCCGACATCGGATTTTTAAAGCCATTTCCAGCCGCCGTCCCGCCTTCAAAAATTCAATTTGCCGTTCGGTTGTTGGTTTATTCCCGCTCCGCTGAGGCTGAGAGGCCTCCAAAATGGAAAAGTTTTGGGTTATAAACCTATAAACCTTCTCCAAAAATCCCTTTTTTTTTTTTTGCATCATTCAAAGCGGCGCTCCCGTCATTCCCCCGGCAGGAAAAATCGATTTTTAATTCGATTCCTTTGATATTTCCTTGAGTTCGGGTTCAAACGGATGATTTATGGCTTTAAAAGGAGAAAAAAAAAACAAAAAAAAAAGAGACAAAATGCAGATTTTATTTGTTTATTCGTTTATTCCGGCCTGCGATCCGTGGGTTTGTGTTTTCCGATGGTTTTCCGCAGCTGTTGCATAAAGGGGGTTTTATTTTAAATTAAAATCACGAAAAATCGCGATTTTGGGTTTTTTTGGTTTTTTTTTTCAGTTGTGGCAGGGAAACTTTTCCTCTAAGCCGAGCCTAAATTAGAGCTGAGGTGAAAAACCCGATTTTTGGCGGGTTTTTTGTGGATGGGACGGGGGTTCCAAAGTTGGAATTGGTGAAATTGGGCAAAATTCAGCCTGAAATGGGGACGGGTGCGGGGCTGGGGTTTAGAGCTGGGATCGCTTCGGGAATTTGGGAAAAATCGGTTTTATTGGGGGTTTCTAATGCTCAAATAAGGGATTTCGGGCTGGGGTAGCTTCGGGATTTTGGGAAAAATCACTTTTTTTTTTTGTTCCTAAGGCTCAAATGAAGAATTCAGGGCTGGAATCACTTCGGGAATTTGGAAAAAATATCTTTCTTGGGGATTCCTAAAATTCAAATGAGGGGTTTAGGCCTGGAATAATTTTGAAACTTTGGGAAAATTGCCTTTTTTTTTTTTTGTTCCTAATGCTCACATGAGGGATTGAGGGCTCGGATCACTTCGGGATTTTGGGAAAATGGCTTTTTTTTGGTCACTTTGATTCAAATGAGGGATTTGGGGGTGGAATAATTTCGAACCCCCAGCCCTTATTCCAAGCCTATGGAAGAATCTCGATTTTTAAGTCTTTAGTTTAAAATCTTTAAATCTTTATTTTAAAATATTTATTGGAAGCCTTTACCTGAAATCCCCATTTAAATTTTAAATCTTCGTTTTAAATCTTGATTTTTGAGCCTCGATTTGAAACCTTGATTTGAAATATTTATTTATTTGTTTGTTTGTTTGTTTGTTTGTTTTATTTCAAATCTGGATTTTAAATCTGTGTTTTTAATTTTGAACCGGGGGAGGTTTTTGTGCAGGGCACAGAGGGGGAACGAGGCATTTCCAAAGGCTCAGAGGGTCTCCAGATGCTTCGGTTTTGGGGTTAAACAGAACTTTTTTGGGTTAAATAGAACTTTTTGGCGGTTAAATGTAACTTTTTTGGGGTTAAATAGAAATTATGGGAGGTTAAAAAGAGCTTTTTTTGTGGTTAAATAGAACCTTCTGGAGGTTGAACAGAACTTTTTCGGGGTTAAATATAAATTTTTGGAGGTTAAACAACCTTTTGGGGTTAAATATAATTTTTTGGGTTAGATATAACTTTTTTGATGTTAAACAGAACTTTTTTTGGTTTGAACGGAACTTTTCTTATGTTAAATAGAACTTTTTGGAGGTTAAATGTAACTTTTTTGGGGTCAAATAGAACTTCTTTTGAGAAGCACAATTAGAGCTGAGGTGGCGCTGTGGTGAAAAATCGTAATTTTTAATTTTTATTTTCTTTTTTGGTGGATGGAAAGGTCGGACGGGACGGGAGAGAAAAGAGGCGCGGGAGGGATTGAATGAGTCACGGGCATCGCGTCATCAAAAGGCAGAAAATTCAAATAAAATAGAAAACAAACAAACAAACACAACGGAAAAAACCCAGATAACTCAGATAAAATAGAGAAAAAAAAGGGAGAAAGCCAAGATTATCAGATAAAATAGGAAAAAAAAATCAGGGAGGAAAAAACCCTGATAATTCAGATTTAAAAAAAAAAAAAGTGCAAAAATCCCAGATAATTCAGATAAAATAGAAAACATGGGATAAAAGCCCGGACAATTTAGATAAAATTTAAAAAATGGGATAAAATATTAGATCATTCAGATAAAATAGAAATAAAAAGGGAGAAAAGCTTAGATAATTCAGATATAATTAAAAAAAAAATACAAGCCCAGGTAATTAAAAAAAAAAAATTAAAAAAAAAAAAAGAGGTATAAAAGCCAAGAGAATTCAGATAAAATGGGGGAAATAAAACGGGGAAAAGCCCCGATAATTGGGATAAAATGGAATTATTTTAGGGATCAGGTTCCGGCTCCCTGGCTCGGGGAGTCCTGCCCGGCTCCCCTGGGAATCCCAGCGGATTTCCCATGGGCTGGAACCCGCCCCGCCTCGTTAATTAGGCTCATTTGCATATTCCTTAGTGCGCCAGAGTGGAGAGGAGGAGTCTGAAGCCGCTGCCCTGGGGCAGGGATTTGGGGAGTCCTGAATTCCTGGGAATTCCCTGAGATCCCAAAT